TTTCGTGGTATAATTATTCTAGAAATAGATAATGCAACAATCTAATAGAAAAGGAATAAATTCAATTTAAGAAAGTATAGGACAGGTATAAAAAGTTATTTATTATATCATGCATGAAGCTTATAATCAGTGGCTAGTAAAAACTTCGTAGAGGAACCGTTTGATAAGTACATAATCTTTGCCCCATTAAAATTCATGAAAGCTTCTATACATAGTATGATTAAAACTTAATGTACAACGTAAGAATATAATTAACATGCGTATGAAAACAGTTTAGTGAGATGAATCCGATTACGTTCTTTAGCCAAGGTAGGAGAGGAGGCGGCAACTTGCGAAGTTGATGGGGAAATTTACTTCGAAGGGAGTTACTTTAGACCAAAATCTGATCCCGATTTAGAGTGTTTCTGTATGCCCGGATATAAAGGTATAATCGTAAAAATTGACACTTATGACATTCTGAAAGCAATTTATTCTTGAATTTACATTCAGGTGAAAATATTGAACCCTTCTGTAAGAAACCGAACCGTCGTTATTGCAACCCACTATTTAAAAACTCTCACTATGTTCATCAGAATTGTGCTCCTCTTTACTATGCTGATCAAAGCCCGCAGCAAGATTGCAGCCATTATTTCGAATGTCGTAAGTTCAGAGTAGAAATGATCAAATAAAAATTGTATCTTCCTTTTAAAAAATCAGGTAAATCTGTAAGATTAATGTGATGATTTTTACAGAAAACGCGAACGACACGATTGTTTATAATCATAATGGCACCGAATCTGCTTCTGAAGAACGTACGTAAATTAGGTTTCACAATCATCACTTTTAATGCGCTCACTATTTAAAATTATTTAATATTTTCTACTGTACTAATATGTAATTTATATTAACAACTCATTACTAATGATATTATTGTTTCAACACGTCTGATCTCTGATATCTGTTTTTTTATTCTAATTGAATATTCCATGTCTTATGACCATTTAATATAATTCAGCATTCATACTCTTAATTATTACACAACTTAATTATTAACACTATGTTGTCGTGGTTTTAACAAGACTTCTCTTAACTATTAATCACAGATGAAATTGATTATAGGTCACACGTACAACATTTGTAAATATAGATTGTATCTATAGACACTATTAACAGATTATAAGTATTTTATCAATCTTACAGAAAACATGTGCCGATTCGGTGACCTAAAACTGCACATTGGTAATGAGTTGACCCATGATTCAAACTGCGTAAAATGCACATGCGAAGTACCGCCGATACCTACGTGTTTACAATCATCAGATAGTGAATGTCATTAATAATATGTAATACGAGTCACACGTGTAATTCTCGTAATGTTACTTCTGTTCCTTAGTTTCGAATGAAACTGTTGGCATTTATGAATAATAGATATTTATTGAATCTTGATTTTTTAAATCATTTATTTCTGTTTTAAGTCAATTTTATTCTATTCGGTTAAAAACCTTTTCTTCTCAAGGAAATAGAAATGTATTATTTGTATAAAAGTGGAGGGCATACAAGTTTTATGCATTTTATAATAATTCTTTGAATAAAAAAGATATTACTTATAAAATAATAAAATTTAACAGTGTCATTTCTGCATTATTTCAATTTAAAATAATGTTAACTGAACAGATTTGCTATTCGTTTTTGTACTTTCCTGATTCCAAGCAATTATACCAGCAGAATTACGAGAAACAATAGGAATCGTTTCCGTGAAGAAATTGTAAGAAACATTTCGCAAGAGAATTCTGTACAAATCCAATTACGTTCAATGTATACGCAAACTCGGTGACAATAGAAGAAAATGTATACAACCAATTTACACGTTTTCTTACCTTGCATTCAAAGTCTTCGCCAACTTGTAGACATCAGGATTGTTTGAACGTCGCCTAAAGAATTTATCGTAATCTAATAATGCTTAAAAGAGCACAAAAATTAATTCTTTGAAATAAAATTTTAATGAATAACTAGGAAGATTTAATTACCTATTATTATTTATTTTTTGCTTCGCTATTTTCATTAATTATAATAAAATTAATTGTCTCTATTAACAACAAGGAACAATTTTTTCTATAAATTTGGAGAGGCGTTGTCTCGAAGAGATTTTAAAATCGTTTTGTCCGCTCCGCGTCACCGTTGAACGCCTGTCAAGTTCGTTTCTGACGGGATAAAAAGCGTTACACCATGATTAAAGGAAAAACAAGATGAAAAGCAGTATTATCCCAGTTTATAGGTTGATAAAACGTATAAATGAACGCAAACTTTTAATAAATTCTCCTATCAACTTAAATGTATTATAATAGTCAATTAAAGCGAGGAAGGTTCATGAAGAGCTAAACTCGTCATACAATATAAGGGATTAAGAATTTTTATTGATCGATTCGGAATACGCTAAATGATTGTTGCCTTAGCATGATTCAGACAGAGTCTTCGACGACACTTCGATATTGATTCTAAATTGACCATCGATTCTTCGCGACTCAAGTTTTTTACTGTTTAAGTTCAAAAGTCAGCGAGACGTGATTGACCAGAGTGACCATGTATGGTCATGTTCGCCGATAAGCCACAGTTCCACGTACCGAGTTTTTCGTGTCTCAGGGTCAGGGAATTCCATGCTCGCTCTGCAATAACTAATAACATAAGTATCAAAATACAAAATAATTACCGAGATATAACAGTACATATATGCATATTAATCATTATTATATCATTAATATGTACTTTTATATATTTTTATATGTATTATATATATTGTAAACATTTTTAATATTATATCATAATTTCATCAATTCTCTGAATAAATTTTGCTTTCGCTAATCACTTGTGTGTCCTCTTACTGCGCTGTATAATATAAATACACTGGAAAGAGAAATAGCATATTTGAAGTAGTACTATTACACAGTATTTGCCTACTCGGGAATACCGTCCTTTGGTTTCTGTGGCAAGATATATTATTGACATTAAGTGGTCTAAGTTCAGCGTCCCTCGATTTTCTTGTCGTCTACGAGTTAATTTAAGGTAACAGCGGGAATAACTTTACGGTACACTGGTTATTGATAATTGGTAGCTGTTTGTAGATGAAGTAGAACCTATTGTACCTAAGAAGATGTTACAACGATGTATGTACATCTATTCATTCAATTTTCGCATCCCTTTTCTCATTTTAACCTTGATATATTCCTCTTTAGATTTCAGAAATAATTCTCCCATTAAATTCTTGAAAGATACAAATATAAATTATTTTAATTTCGTCTTATTTTAATATTGTCGTCTGGATCTATGTTCGAGTTTCATTCACAGAGTTATCGAATACTAACTTAATTCATCTAGACGTCCCTCTCGTAGTCCATGGTTTTAAAACTGGATATTTAGAAACAAAATTAAGGAATTAAATTCACGCGTTCGTAATAAGAGCATTTCTATTTTCGCGTCTTTCGAACGTCAGAATCAATTTTCCGGGGCAGTAGTTCACAAAAGCGCGAGACTTTTCCGAGGCGGAGACGTCGAAAAACGTTACCTTTCGTATCTTATTCCTTCATGTATATTTCAGTCTTTTTCTACATACCGTTCGTATTTTTCCCCTTCGTCCTTTCCATTTCCTGCTCTTTTTTTCAGACGCGGCTGAGCGCGCGGAGATAGAACGTCGAACCTTTGTACATCTTATCTGTTTCGAACCTTTTTCGTCCCTTTATTCGATTTACTTATTCCTTCTTCCCACGGTCCCATCCTTCCTTCTTACCTAACTCCGTTGCTTTCTTTGCATACCATCTCGACATATTTCTTGCCCCCTCTTTGCAGTTACACGCTTGATAAGATTCCAGCTAAACGTCCCGCTTATTGTTAACTAAATGCGAGAAATTATTCAATACCTGTTTGACTATCCTACGTGTATGCAAATATAAGTTCTTTGATTATGTACGTATTGCATATTGGAAAGTAAAATCATACCAATAGAACGTTTTATTATTCTGTTGTACAGTTTGTATATTGCAAAAAAATTCCCGATTTGTTAATAACATTTTTTGCAATATCACTAATAGTAGTGGTAGTGGTAGTAATCACGGATAGACTGGCTTGAATCATGACGGCTCGTCCATGGCTGAGCGCGGACCCCTCATTGGTTAGTATTTTTCGTCAATTATTCAAAAACCATGCTTCACTTTGCAATTTGCCAAAGGAAATTGTTGTTCAGAAACACCTACAGAATCACCTCTCTTCGGTTCTAACACTTTTTCTGGGACACCCCGTATATTTTTTGGAAACGATACGTGATACAGTAATTCACTTTCTGAATTTGTTTTTAGATTTCATAAACTCTATAAGAATTACCTATATTACAAAAATATAAAATGTTCTAATTTGTCGCAATTCTTCTAACTCGAAGCAAGGAAGAAAGGGACAACCGCGACTCTTACAGTAGTGTTAATTTCCAATCGAAAATAAAGAATGTCGACTCGATTCAACAAGTCAATTTATCGGCCCCCATCAATTGGAGCGTATCGATGATCGATGCTCCCGGTTCCATTAGTCTAGCGAGTACGCGTGTTTCCGATCGGCGAGCATGGCCGTACTTACGGTCCGTATATTCACGCGCGCGTGTTACATCATCCAGCCGGTCTTTTGGATAGGTATAAATTAACCGCAACAATGGCAGGATTAGTCCCCCTGTTTGTTGCACGGACTCTATTATCCCCGGGCCCCCGGTTTAGGAACCATTCCTAGTCGACGCGATCTAAACATGGAATGATCCATCAACTAATCAGTTTGATGGACGACAATTTCTTGCTTAGTCTGGTTTAGAGCTCCGCACGTTATACAAGCTGCCCTTCCAGATACGATCAATATTAGAAACTCAGAAACAGACGTCAGTGTTTAATTAATTGCCTATATTGATTTGACATTTTTAGAGGACGAGAAACCTAAAACGTAACATGTACGATATTTTTTCTTTAATTAATAATGTATATTGGCTTGACATTTTTAGGTTCATGTTCAATTTTATCTTCATATTCAATTTTATCTTTATGTTCGATTTTTCATCTCTAATTAAAGACCCATGTTGGCTTGACATTTTTAGAGAATAGGAAATGTAAAATTTTTGTATTTATATTGAAAATTTCATCTGTATTAGTTTCCGAGATATTAAAGGAATAATATGTACAACACATCTGGTTACATTAATGTATCAGTGGAGATATGAATTTCAACATACATATGTCTATTCATATTTCACATCTGTTCGATTCAGCTTTCGTCATGTTGGCATGCGCCGAGTTGTTAGGAGAAAGATCGGGTCGCGAGATGCAATTATGATAAACCTGAAAGCTTCTTTCGAAAGCTTTTCAACGGGTATCGCGGGTTCACAAAAGGGATGACCGTGCACCCGCCGGGACTCGTCCGTTTTGACTCGGCCGCGTTTTAATCTATACCTACCTGCAGCTCTCTCTATTTCCCGTTCTCTTTATTCTACGGCTGTCACGCCGCGTGATGAGCTTCCGACTCTGAAGTGCGCGGCCGCGTGAAAAATGTCCTGTCTTTCCTGATTCTATCGCAGCCTCCCTCGGATCAATACAGGAAAATAATCGCCGATTGTTCAACCGGCTCTAGAGAAAGTCCTGCATGTCATCTCTCGTCCTCGATTTTTTCACTGGCATGAATAAAATTACGATATACAGGGTGACTCAGAATGCACGACGTTCGTCTGCGAGAGAGTATTCTGGGAAAGAAAAGTCCTGAGTCGAACGTTCCTTTTCCACTTTTTGTCCATCCGTCACTAAAAATTAACAAAAATATGTCGAGTCATACATAGTACGATATATGATCTCTTTTTTATCTTTACAAAAGGATGTTTTTTCTTTATCTCTCTAATTGAACATAATTCCTTATTGCACTCAATGCTATGTCTTACCTCAAGATTCCAGGCTTACAATAGCTCTGTTCTCTACAAGCGATTCCGCGTTGGATTTGACTTAATAGGAATGATCCGTGAAAACGGGATTTCGTGGCTTGCATTGACGTAGCAACATCATACATTAATGAATAAATTTAATATGTAAAATTGACATATTTCACGTTTTAAAGATGCATTTTACCTGTAACAGGCAAATACTGAAAATAAATTGCAATTTTAACAATAAGAAACGTCAATACACTTTATACTTCATAACTTCATACATATTAGCCGCCAATGCAAGCGACTTAGGCATTGCTACCTATACATAATAATTCTACGGCTGCTGCAAAGGTGCTTATATGTACATATGTATGTATATGATCCCAAGTTACTGCGTGTACAATTCTGTACACATCATACTTAATGCTATTCTTACATTATGTACATTCACGTGTATATCACAGAGCTTACCTCAGCTTACATCAGACAAATGGGTCCCCAGACAG